TCCTCTACAATCACTGCGACGATGAAACGTTTAAAACATTGTAAATTTTAATTTTTAAATTTTATTCCTTTTTTTTTTAACGAGGATAAAATTATCATGTATCGATTCGTGCCAAATTCTTTTACGGATTATGCACGAAGGTAACTTTTATTTCTGGTTGATATCACGTAAACTATTTTTAAACAATTTTTTATTTAAATTAACGGGTAAAGTAATGGGTAATCTCACTCGAGCTACAACCCCTCACGGTTTCGCGCTCGAGATGTTACGAGGAAATTTGAATTTCTGATGCAGTTGACGATGTTGACATAATAGAATCACAAACTATTTGAGAAATTAAGTTTCAAGAAACACATAGTCATTGTCCAAATATTTTACTTCAATAATTCCGAAACCTATTTCGCGAAAATACAATCTCACTTAAATAAACCTGGATTGAATCCCACGATCCGAATCCATATAAGCTAATTTCCAAATAAAAGGACGAGGAAAGGCGAGCAACGACAACGACTTACGTTTCCTCAATTTCGTATTATTACCTCGCAGAGATCTTTTTATATCTCTTTGCAGCGCTTTGATTAAAAATCCTCCGGTCGTCAACCCCTTCCTCCCCACTGTTTCCAGTTGTGTTGTTTTCTTAATTAAGTCTTTCTCGAATTTATCTCGTCGTCAAAAGGAAAAGTTTCGAATTTTGCAAACAGAGACGAAACAGGTTTCGAAAGTTGGACACGCTTCACGAATCACGTTTTACAATTTCGTGCCGAAAATTGTGTACATCTCGAGGGGGGAAAGAATTTTGTTAATTATTGGGGATCGCGTGTAAGACAACGTAACCGAGGAAGAAATAGCCACCTGAATCATAAAGCCGAGATAAATGGTCGTACTTGGCATAGTTTCATTGCTTCACCGAGCTAGATGACTCACCCATTGCTCCCTTATTACCCCTGAGAAATTTTCTCCTTATTGCTGAACCACACACGATCCACTACACGGAACTACGTGGCTACATGCCACGACGACAGGGTTTCATCTTTTCACGAACCAGTGTACACGCTTTGTGCCGAAGATTGGATCGATGTTGCCTCTTTGAATATTTTATAATCCTAATAAATCACTGTTTCCTGTATTTTGAAATAATTTTTAAAAATCGAAAGTATTTTAGAAATATATGATTAAGAAACACATTTTAAAATATTATTTTATATTTTATTATTTTAAAATAATTCTCTCGATTCTTTGATGTTAGAAATTTTTTTCGAAATGAGATATTTTTGAAAATCGGGATATAGAAATATTTCTTGTTCAAAATTATTTTTTAGAAACATAGATATATATATATATTTCCTCCATAAAATATGGTACATGGTACGCATAAAGAATAATGTTTATAAATTTATGTACAGATTTTAACGTGCAGTTAAACGGGTTTATGTAAATTTTTCTCGCATTATCGACATCCAACGCGATTTAAGTTTTATGACGAAACCTACCTATAACGCGCCACGAAACGTCTATACATTCTTGTATAGAGTATCCATATCCTGTCTGGATATTTTTTTTTTTTTTTGTTTACGCGGAAAGTGGTTTTCTCGTTTTTACGATGTATCCGGGATGACGCGAAAATGGATCGCTCGGAAAGGAACGCTCGTTACACGCACGTATGCCGAGCTTTTCAGAAATCAAAGTGCCACTTTGACTTTTACTCTTGTAGGTCGTCGCTTTCATTTCCAAACTCTCGCCTATATCTCGTAAATTTCTTTGATTTATCGATTCGTCGCTTGTCGAGCTTCTGTTATAATCTTAATGGAAAAAATTATAAATTTAAAAGATCGATAGTTTTTATTCTATCAGCGAAGACATGCAAAATATCGTAGCGATCGGATTTGCATGATTTTGAATATGTAAAATTGGATAGATTGGATCTTAGAATTAAAAATTATAGGATAAATAATATTATATCTCCTTCTCTTCAGGAAAAGAGAAGGCGATACACGTTTCCAGGATGTGTTTGGTCACGTCCATCCAAATCCTCCGAATGACGTCCATCCACTTTTCCTTCGCACCCTAATCTCAAACACTCAGCCCTCGCTCGAATCTCGCAATAAACAATCTCGCCATAAAAATCTCATCCCCTTAAGATTGATGAATTGGACGGCAAATACTTAGGATTCCATAGAAGTCCACAAATTGACCGAAGAAATTTGATCAACGATGGATTGGATAACATTGCGATTCAATTGGTAACATATACGATCAAAAATATCGTTCGAGCGCACTTTATTTTTATTTTTTTCCACGGAAAAATTTATTCTTTCCTTTATTTTTAGACTTTAAATTACAAGCAAAGAATTGTCTGCAATTGTTCTCGAGGAAGGTTGTTTTCGAAATGGGGCATTTAAGATAATTGCCCTCTTAGCGTTTAACAGAACAGTTAATGATAATTAACCCGGCTGGTTAGAAGATCCCAGTTATTTGGAAAATGATTTTCGCGTTAAAGCTATGTCTCTCACGGTTTTCACTCCCGCGAAACAATACCCTCGTTATCACCCCTTCCATTGAGCATCCTCGGTAATTACGAATTTACATTTAATCCTTAAGTTGCGCGAATCTATCGTATTCTGTTACGTGATATCGTTGGTCGAGTGTTCGAGCGTTCGCTATCCTAATTCGATAATCATGTCGTCTAGAGCATCGTTAACAAGATGCTCATTAAAGTCGACTCCCAGTAATGACGTGACTTTTGATGGATTTTCGGGCGGCGTTTGAATATCGTGGCTTCCAATTTTAATTGCCTTGTTCTCCCTTCTATCCAACGATTTAATTAACGATCTTGAGGTATATTAACACGTGCACTACTTTTAAAGTCGATGACTCGTCTGATCATGTTGATAAAATTTAACGTAGTTGTGCTGCTCTGTACGAAATGTTCAAAATTCGTTTCACAATCATCGTGCAAACCAATCTTCCATTATTATATAAACGGTTAATAAGCGTCTGATTTCGTGCAATCGATCAAATTCCTCACGCCAATCACGCAACGATGATCGATTCTTTCGAAGAAAATTCTCGATTCCGATTATATTTAACTTTTATTCGGACGAAGGGCGTTTGTTGTTCGAAGAAAGAGAATAAGAAGGAACAGTGACGATTAGTGGTGGACTCGTAAAGATTCACGTTATCATCGATCGAGATATTTATATCGTTATTCGCGTGGTTTTATCCACGTTGTGTTACGAATAAAAGGGGGCACTCTTCGAAAGGAAACGGAATGAAAACGTACGAACGGGAGAGATCTGATCGATCCTTTTTCCTCGAACTTTAGAATTCACCCAGGAAGTAGTACGAATCAACAAGTGCGCCGGCCACTCATCCGCGACTGTCTGAACTATCCGGAAGGAAATCGTCGAGATGATCTGCAGATTTTCAACAATGCTTGCTGCGCGAAAATCCCTAGGACAGTTGGAGTAAAAGCTTTTCCCTGTGCACGGAATATTTCACGACCAGAAGAATAATGGTGGTTAAATTCTTTAAGAGTTTTGAATTAAGAAACGAGGATAAAAATATGTCTCTAATACTTCCTGTTGCGAAGATTTAAACGTTGAGACGAATATTTTCTAACAGTTTTCAAGTTTTTTTATAACATTCGTTCTCAAAAACGAGAAGAATAATATTAAATTTTAGAGTTTCTTTTTTTTTTTTTTAGTATTTTTAGTATTAAAGAAGAAATGATCACGCGAGATCTTATCTTTGTAGATTATCTTTATAGAAGTCCATTGGTATTTGCATTGTTCTTTGTGAATCAGCACTGAATGCATGTAGGATTCTAAAGTAGTTCTCTCTGTTCTTATGGAATCGCCATTGCCTTTTACCGGAGGTAATGCAAGAACAGAAAATGGCAAGAAAATGGCGAGAGAATGGAGGTTTGCAGATGTTCATCGATTCGTTCCTGTATTTTAACTATACTCACGATTTCTTTTATCTTTTCCATTCTTTCTTCTCTCTCTTTCTCTCTCTTTTTTTTCTTTGTTAAAAAAAAAAGGCGATTTTTCTACTCTCGATAAAATTCGAAGATGCGAAGGGAAATTCTCGATGCGAGGATTCCTCGTTGCCAACTCTCCTCCGTATTATTTTTTTTCTTATTTTTTGTTCCAGTAGAGAATTCCACGTACACGCGACATCCTTGTTGTCATTTTGCGCTCAGAGATCAGATGCACCTGTGCGCCCGTGTCTTTTATTTCTTGAAATTTTACGTATGCGCCTGTTACTCGTTTCTTTATGCACGTAACTTTTGTCTCGTCTGAAAAACAAATGCACGATTTACATTTTAATAGGCGGCGCGCGATATTACGACGTACAATCACACACGTGCTACTATTTATTTTAATTTTATGGAGAGATATGTTATTCACCACTTAAATTTGTATTAATTTTACACAACATTCAACGAGATTAACTTACACTTTGCGGAGTGCACGCACTTGAACGCATTGGAACGTTAATTCAGTGATTATAATGGATTCGTATTGAATTCATATTGTATTCCATTGTACAATTGTACAATTGTTCTTTACATCCATTGCATTTTATTTATATGCTTTATTCGATGGTTTTATTTTCGATCTATTAAACTGAATAAACTGTTCTTCTCGTGAATGTTATATCTACAATATTATATTCTTTCTTTTTTTTTTTTAAAAACAATAATTAAAAAAATATTGTAGATGATATGTCGTTGAACTCGTCCAATTTATAAATATATATTCGATTATTCCAAAAGTTCCTTTCATTCTTTGATTAAACGCTAAAATTTCTGGGAACTTTTATTATTTTTCCAAACGTATTTCCAAAATACTCAAAGTGATCTCTGATAATAAGGATATCGATATTGATCACTAACACCATGTCTCATTTACCATATTCATCATAATCCATTGAAGGCTGATCAAGGAGAGAATGGATATTGAAATTACTCAAATATTAAAGGGTAATTTTCTTTTCAGAGGCTCACAGAGCTCTAGAGCTCCTCGAAGATTATCACGCGAAGCTGACGAGGCCTCAGGACAAGCAACTACGATTGGCCATCGAGCGTGTCATCCGTATCTTCAAAAGCAGACTCTTCCAGGCGTTATTGGGTAAGTGTTTCGTTAAAAAATATTATCTCGAATACCCTTAAAAAAGGGTTTTCCGCTCGTTCGACTTCCATTCCCGGTAAAATCAGTTTTCTTATATCCCGGCGATATTTTAAAATCCGAAAAATTCCGGCGATTCATGGAAGATTCAAAGAGATTCTGCACCTCATCCCATTCTCTATGCTCGGGCTCAATCTCATCTTATTTATCGGAACTGGCACGTTGCCTCTCGAACGTTTCTCGCGCCATTGTTATTCGGAATAAAGCGCTCTTACCGCGCGATTCATTCCGTTCGCATCCTCTTTCAGATGAAAACTCGTCCGAAATTTTGACCGAGGCTTTGTACGAGCGGCGGAGGAAAAGAGAGAAAAAGAGGGAAGGGGGGCAATATCGAGCCTTGTTTTTACTTCAATCCGGAATCGAGGATTCTTGTGAACACAGGGGGAGGGATTTTCATCGTATTCTTTGAGCGTACGATTCTCTTGGTATCGATCCTTTTGGAAACCTTTTGTTATCATCAGTCTGTACGTACGTACGCCGAGAACGAAATAATATCTTTTAATCTTTCCAAGGATAAACAATCCATTTCAAAGAATAAACGACGCCTTCGAACGATACTTGAACATTTCTTTCCATATTTTTTTCTATAATTTCGTCCGTTACTTTTTGCACACACACTCCTACTTATTGACGAAAAATTACATTTTGTTCCGTAGGATAATATTTTCTCATTCGAGTACCTTTCATATTTTTAAAGAAAATAATTATCGCAGGGATGATCGAAGATTTAACTGGAGAGAAGCACAGACGTTGCGTAGCAATGGAAATGCGCCAATTTTTATTTCTAATCCTCTCGATTCCCAGCGTGTAACCGTGCAAGTTTGTTCGCGAAGCAGATTGTCCTATTCGATCCACACGGTATGACGCTTTCGCATAGGGGGAGATTAGTCGGTGCATCTGCAACTGTGTCGGGTGCATAGGTTGTCCTTATGCCGCGCCTCGCCTGTTAGTGCTGATAACCTGAAACACCCTCGCCTCCAGAGTCCCATCGGTGACGTGGACAATGGATACAAGATTACACGTCATATCAGCTCCGCTAAGTACTTAACGAGATTAGAATATTACGCGAAACACCTGAAATTAACGCCTAAAACAATTAAAGTAAAATAAGAATTAAATTAAATTTAAAGAGAATCGACGAATTTCAATTTTTACAATAAACGTCAGAGAGAGAGAGAGAGAGAGAGAGAGATTGAAGATTAATAATTAACTCATCTCTCGGATGATTGATGCAACATTGTATTTAAATTTTTACACAAAAATATAGACTTTTGTAAAAATACAGACGAGGATAGACATATACTGGAGAGAGATCTTTTTTTAAGCAATTTCATTTTCAGAATTTTCCATGTGTTTCGTACGAAATTCCAGCGAATAGATTACGTGGATGTGCATATTTGCGCGCATTCTTAATTCAACTTGCAATCTCATTGCTCGCTGCAAGATAGAAGAAGCTTGCCAGCCCTAACTCGGAGTTCAGGCTCAGCTGCTTTGAAAATGATTAAATTGAAAGCTAGAAGATCTGGATTACGTTAGATTCAATTAGACTTTTTGCATCGTTTCAATTATACGATGCTCAGAAACGATCTGTCTGTATCGAGGATAACGTATCGATAATTAATGACTCGAAGGAGATCCGTATGCAGCGATTTCCTGGCCAATGCCCATGGAATTACGCGTCACGTTGGCAACCCTAAGTACGTAACAAGATTACAACTTAGAACTAAACGTGTAGCCGTGCTATACGCCCAACAACTTGCGAACACAAGTTTAGAGAACCGGTTGAAATAACGATATCGAGTGATATTTAAATTAGATAGACTGGCTCGAGTGTGTTTGATCTTACCAAAGATCGTGCTGATTTTTAACTTTCTCGTTATACAAGCTTGTTCTTTTTGATAATCTTTGAATCTTTGGATAAAATTGAGTACGATGGATTATAAATTTAGAGATTAAGAAGAAGAATAGGTTTTCGATTATTTTATGTGTTTCGTTTTATGAAAATCGGTTGTAGCTATAACTTAATGAAAAACCATTGTGTGTAAATTGTAATAGCGATTTGAAATTACACGTTCCTACAATTTAATCATAATTCGTTTTGAATTGTCTGAATAATTCTGAATAAATTAAATTAAATTGAATCGTTATTCCAAATTTGTTTTAATCTATCTTCTAAAACTCATAGAACGGGATAAATATCCGAATGCGAAGAAAGAATAGAAAGTAAGGTTAATTCGAATAAGAAAAATAATTAATCTAAGAGACTGGCAACGAAAGATTTTAAATTAATTTACTCGGATGTCGCGATGATTGTTACATAACAGCACGTTTGCTGAAGTTGCAATCAAGTCACCAGAGAAACGCCAGCTTTCGTGATTTCATTTTCTCCGGACGAACAACTAAATCTTAATTGCGTTTAACGCTTTCGTGTGTCGAAAGAATAATTCGAATCGCTCACGCTCCACCTTAAAAATCTCTCTCCGTCCTTTCGCGTATTTTCTTCATTACAATATAATGAACAATGTAACGAGCGTATTACCTTAAAATACCTTTTTGAATTTATTGAAATTTATTCAGAAACAAGAAGCCTCCCTCGTTCTTGAGATATTTTAATAACAAGTATCGCATTCGAAGCGGATGGAATCGCGTGTTTGACGAGATTTCTGTGAAATTTGTCAAAGGCACAAGATGATGAAAGTTGCTCGTGAATCGTGACCCCTTTCTTGATCAGCAAACTCGAGGATAATTCAAGATACAGTCATTTTGGAGTTAAAATTTTCCAGTGGTTTTGGATTCTTGATTTATCATTCTCGAGCTTTCTTCTCTTCTCTTATTCATTATCATCGATACCAACTTCTTATCGATTATCCAGATGGATTGCGGATTAGAGAACTCAAAAGTCGAGAAGTTTATTTTAACTCGTCGAGAGGAAGATTGATCTTTGACGAATAAACATTTGTCCCGATTAGAGGAATTTTTTTTTCTAAAAGTTGAAATTATATGTAGAGATAAATTGTACAGAGGTTTTTCTTCTTCGATTTGAATTGGAGGAACGTGTATTTAACGAGCTTGTTATTCTCTTGGGAAAACTCGAAAATACATACACATCGACGTTTCTAATCTTTTATTATTATAGCTTTAGGAATCTTTTCGTAGGATAAAAGAATCGGAAATCCAGATTACAAGAAAGCGTCTACTCAAGATTACCGCGTGATTTTTCTCGATTTCTTCTGTTTCTCCTGTTCCTTAGAAATCCTTTAAGAAATGGTGAATTCCCTTACGTTAGTTGCGTTTCTTGTTCGATCGACTTTTTGGGGTTGGATAGAATATATTTTCTTAAATGAAAAGAATACCTTCTTTTGTATTTTTCATTTATTTAAAAATGAATCTCGCAATCATTAAGATCCGAGGATAAAAATTTTAAATTTTCAAGTGAAACTATTTGTCAAACTTTCTTATTTCGCATTTAATTATACGTATTCATTTAACGAATGTAAACCTGAACGGATTTAGATTTAAGATCCTGTCGTTTTTACAGGACTAGCTTTCTCGAGGAGACAGGTATGCAAAGCAGCTTGTACTGACGAAGAAACTTAATTAAAGGAAACCAGGCCGTTAATCTCGTAATCCATATCTATTGTTTCTTACATAATTTCACACGATTTTGCGTGACAAATTTGCGACACGTCAATTACCGTTTTACAAATTCCGATTTAAATTTGAATACATTTTACTATGGCGACAAATCGACTCATTCGTATTTTTGCTTTAATAAAATTGAAAAAGAGAAAGAGAGAGAGAGGGATTCGAAAATAATCGGTCACGTACAATCTATTTGACAAACCGGTATATCGGGCTCTCCACGGAGCTAAATGTTCGACGCAATATGGAACATAGACGTGGAACATAAACACAATGCAGTATTTTACACTTTGGTGGTGGATGCATCGGACGTAACATTGCAAAACACGACCAGCTGACAAATCCTCCTTGTCCTCGCGCACGTGCACCAGTTTAGATCAGGTTTACGCAATATCGATCAACCAAGTTTCCCTTTTATCTCTCTCCTCCCTCTTCACCATACGTATACTCACTCCTTTCATTTTGATCTCGAACGAGATTATTAGAAAACTAACCATCCATCGAGTCTTCAAAACTTGGAATGTTTTGAATTTGAAAGGGGGAAAAAAGAATCGTTGACATTAACGAATGTCGTAACGAAGATACGATCACTCTCGATCACTCGTCGTCGAAATCTTATCAATCTCTCGATCGGAGAAACGAGTTAACGAATCAACGCGCAAACTTGGTTATCGCATTCGTGCCTCCTAATGGAATCGGCCACGAGAGCGATAAACGTGTTTCCCTCGGCAAGTCGGCCGAGATTTGTGTTTAAACGGAAAAACTAAGCTCGTTGCAACTCGAAAATCAGCTTGCTCCGCCACTTGGAAAATTCGCAGGTCGATCCATCGATCGGCGGATAAAAATTTTCTTCGAGCTGGCCTGGGAAACAAGGAATCCATCTCTGGAAGCGAAGAGAGGGAAAGAGGGAGTATCGTCTACTTTTCGCCGTGAAACTACTGGAAACTAGGATCGGTGCGAAGGGAAAAGCGTGAAAGAAAGAAAGCAAATGGAGGGAAAGAAAGTAAGGAGACTTGGGGAGCGTGGATCAATTCATAAATCAATAAAAAGCTCGACGGCGCTGTAATAAGAAGGGAATACGAGTAAACGGGATCGAAATGGATGGAGAAGGAATTGCGACTCTGGGAAATAAAATAGCTGGGAAACAGAAGGAATGGAGAAATATTAAGGTACGAAAACACGGACGTTGATAAGTTTGCTCTTCTTTGAGGTAACAAAAGAAGCGATGAAACCCTTTAGGGCGAGTAAACTTGTGTAGAAACAACTTTGCTCTTGCGGTTTAAACGGGACGGGCGAAATATCATTGTTTGCTGTTCAGACGCGTGTTGCTAATTTTCCTTGCGTGTAAAGGAAAATTTTTGATGGCCGGATTACGAAGAGAGATTATACACGTTATCCCGGGTATTCAAAGTTATTCGAAGTTTCTTTCGTTAGCACGATCAGATTCGAGGTACGATCGAAATTAAACCACGCGGAATTATAAAGACACGCGGGACGTTTCATAATAATGTAATCAGGGAAGGAGTTTCATTCAAAAACTCGTTCTTGAGCAAATAAGATCTTAAAAGCAATATAACTTTGTCTCCACAACGTAATTTCTGATAGAAAACGAATTATTAATTTTGCCAGATTGATACATTCTTGCCACTACTCAATTTGATAGAAGTTGCGTAGAAGTGGTAAGATCTCGTCTTCGACGCTACCTATAATTCCGCTCGCTCGTTCCAAAATCCTGGAAAATCCAAAAAGTGGGGAAAAAACTGGGCTCGCATCCAGAGATTATTTACGGCGCGCCGTTTGTTTTAATTACGATTAATTCTTCTTGCACGGTGCCTAACCGTGTCCCCTTCCCACCTTTTTCACAGCGAGTTTTTTTCCTATTCCGTGTCGCG